ATGAAATAGTAGACCAACTGGTTAATTCAGCTATTCAAGACGGTGACATATGTCCTTACAATAATTATTGTCACGATTTGGCTATTCTCCCGAAAGTATACCTAAATGAAGCATGGAATGAGTTCCGGCTCAATAGTACCTCCAAAGCATAGACATACAATTATATGGACGTCGGGCCCGCGCTAAAAAGTGTCCGAACTTATAGGGCGTTAAAATCGTATACAGAGCGTCATTCACGCTTTAGTCTTCGTTTGTTCGACTGACAGCGAAGCAAGCAAAATAGACAGTACTGCGATGACATTACAATTTAAATTCAACGTTTTAGCTTTTTCATATTCCTTTACATGTCACTACGTTTAAATAGGTTGACTTGGGACATTTTTTTCGTGATTTGTGTATTAGACCCGTCGTCCATTTATTTGTAAGTCAATGTTCCATAGGGAAGTATTATGGATTGGTACAAGAGAACATTCCGGATAAACCTTGGTTTACTAAATTACTGTTTGATAAACGTAGCACATCTGTTATTAGTAGACTTTGATTTGGACATGTTAATACTCCTGCGCAGTTATACATATAAATTTAATATTGTTACAGATCCTTCATTCCCAACCGGGGCCCCCAAGCGGGGTTCCCAACCGGGGCCCCCAACCGGCCGGAATTCAATTGAAATCAATTGCAATTAAAATCATTTGCAATTAAAATCAATTGCAATTGAATAGATTTTTTAATCTGATTGAATTATTGATTGAAATTTAATTGATTAACGCCCAACACTGTTTGAGATGCGTGGGGAGCCGCGTACTACTGTTGATTAGAATTGATTATTTCAATTTCTAAACGACCTCATCTATACCTTGGTTGGGGGTTCATATCTTACAATCTTTAAGGACATGCAGGTACCCTCATGTTTTCATCAAATTTAGTTACCTAATATAATTATCAATAAATTTGATTTTGTAACATCGTGCGTTTGTTTTCATAGAATTTAAGAAAGAAGATTAATACCAACCTTGGTACTTTCAGTAGTTTAGTATTTTCATAATGTGTCTTAGGGTCGTATTCCAGAACTCTACTCAATGCTCAAGTTAGGACTTGAGCAGACTTGAGTATGATTTCAAGCACTGGAAATACGACCGTAATGACAAGGAGTCTTCAAGGAATGTATGATCTGTCTGGTACAAAATTTAGAGACTAGGTGTGTAATTCGATGCACTTTTATTTTTTTAATTTACTGCCTCCACGGCCGAACGGTTACCATGCTGGATCGCCACGCAGATGTCCCGGGCCGGAAGAAATATTTGTATAGCTTAAATTTATTTATTTCCTGAGTTTGGATGTGTTGTCTATTGTTATGTACAATTTCGTTTTTACATTTTAGAATGGGGGGAAAAGGATGCTAGTCACAAGCGCGATAGATCATTTACAGCGTAAACTTGTATTTTTTATATGACGCCGATGTATTTAAAAAAGACAATGGTTATTTTCAACGAGTCCAAAAGTCCACGCGTGAAACACAAACAAATTTTATGGCTGATTTATATTTATACAATGTTATCTTGTAATGACCGCCAGTGCCACGGGCATGTCAGCCCTGACACAACATCAGGGAGTTTATACTGGCTCGGTTAGTCGTGCTTTCATCATAGTGGTGACCTACCTATCGTACCTATCTAGCTAAAAATAAATTCGTTCCATTAACATCAACTATTTAAGAAATTGTTTCAATATTACGTGTTATGTAGTTGCTGGGGACATCCATTTCATTACCATAAATGGTACCGAACCAGGGGACGGCAAAACTTTCTTTTCATTTTTTTACCTAAGGTGTTAATTTGAACGCATTACTTTAAGAATAGATAAAAGCCAGTATGTGAATATGTAGCAAATGTGACGTAAAATCAGCCTTCAAAATTTGTATATATAATCCAATTTTTGCATTTCAGTAACTTTGTGCTTTATGATACGAGTTTGAGAAAGTAAGGCGACGATGTAAAATTATATAAAATTACCAAGTATTAAGGCTCCACATTAAATGGTTCCCAATACAGTACTTTAAATTTTAATATGTTTCGATTTTAATTGATTGAGAAAAACGGTTTATTTGAAGCCTCATTCTCTTCAAAATAGGGATATGACAGGAAGCCCAATCTCTAAATTTAACGCCAACTCTAAGGCTCCGTTAGCCGACTTTAGAATTAATTGCCATATTTACAAGATTTTACAGCGTTTCGAAACTGCAACTTATAGGTCGGTTCCCCTTTGGGTTCACAGATGTATGGATAGCGTACAAAACACTTGCAAAGCTTTACGAGTTGAGTAATTATGCATTACATTTCAGTGGATTCCATCCCGTATAATGCAAGTTGTGAGTGTTAATGAAGAAGTTGACCCTTTGGCGAAATTAGCTATTCCTCAAAGCCACTAAACAGACCGACTTTAAAATCATTCGTCCCCTAGTTTGCCACCCTTAAAGGTGAAATATTTTCTTCAAATTTAAATGGTACCACTTCTGATGTATCCTCTTTCCAACAAAAAGAAGAATCATCAAAATCGGTTCACAAATGCCGGAGATATCGCGTAACAAAAAAAAGCATAGTCGAATTGAGAACCTGCTCCCTTTTTTAAAGTCGGTAAAAAATATCTGCATTCACGTTCATCGTTGCTAATACATAGGGCGCTCTATAAGTTTCCGGAAATGGCCTCTTACATAAACAATATTTAAAAAGTAATTACTACATTTGAAAATGGAACTCTTTGGCTGTAGAATACAGTTTGTTTCATCTGACTGTCACTTGTTTTTACAATGTGGCGTCATTTTCGAATTTGATTGTTGTAGACATTGGTTGTAGAAGAGGCTGTCGAAGAGTATGAAAAATACGTTTCAGAGATTGTCACGGAGGAGTGGCATAAATGTTTTCAAAATTGGTTCATTCGTATGAAAAAGTGCATTAACGCTAACGGAGAATATTTTGAGAAACAATTTATAGTATTTTTTTCTTATTCATTCCGGAAACTTATAGTGCGCCACACGTATTCATTGCTGATGTTCGAATCGTGACATAACATATAGCCTCTTCAGGTGATGAAAATCGTTGACCGCGTAACTGGTTTTTCATTTTTGGAAATTTATAAAAGTCACAAGATGTCAGGTCGCGACTGTACGCGGAATGGCACATAAGGTCAACGTTGTTCACCTTCAAAAATTCATTTGTCTGTCTGGCCGTGTGAGTATGTAGTAATTACTTACCAAATGTAGTAATTACCAAATGTAGTAATTACTTTTTAAATATTGTATAACTGCCTCCGTGGCCTAACGGTTACCATGCCGGACTGCCACGCAGAGGTCCCAGGTTCGATTCCCGGGCCGGAAGAAATAGTTGTATGGCCTACAATTATTTCTCTCGTGAGTTTGGATGTAATTTGTGGTTGTCTATGTGTGTGTCCATGGCACCCGCGACACAGGGTTTCCCTAGTGCGGGGCCATGTTGAGTGTGTGCGTTATTATTATTGTATAGGTAAGTGGCCAGTTCCGGAAACTTATAGAGCGCCCTATGTACATGATAATTTTGCATTGTCCTTTACAACTAAGTCCCTGCAAGTGTTAAACCTTATACTATTACTATTTTCGAAAAGTAAATAAATATTAATTTTGAAAATTCAAGATACAGGTCTCATGGTAACAGCTATTTGTAAAGGGCGCAAAGCATTGATTTGTTTGGAATAGCATATTTATGCGATCCGGAAATTAAAATAGAGTTACGTAAATCTAAGAACCTTAAACTTACTTAAAGAAGATGTTTTAAAAAGTCATTGTCATGTAATATGGCGTGACTAATTCCAACATTATAATCGAATATTTAAAATTTTACTAGTGATGTTGTAGTTGATTTAAAAACGCTTATTACACTACCCGATTTCAAGGTACCCTAACCCTATCTTAGGGATGTCTAAAAGAGTCAGGGTTCCTGGTGAGGGCGACTGATTTATAATAAGAGTGGTGCCAGAACTAGGGGCCACCCTTAACGCAGGGCCCATGAAATCGGGTAGTGCAATAAGCGCTTACACTCTGGATTTTATACGCAAAAAAAAAGATCATTGTGCTGGTGTACATTTGTTGTGATGACATTTTAAAATACACTGGTGCTTAGTGACCAAGAAATCTCTAATTTCGTTTTTGTGAACTCTTTTTGATAAAAACAAAAATTAACATGAGGAAATATGTAAGAATAGGAACGCTCAACACATTATTATATGGCTTGATTGTTTATTGAAATATCGACAAACATTTGCTTCACGAAGACGAACAATCAAGTTTAACAAAATCGCGCCGTTTCATAAAATGCCTTGATTTTTATGTGCCGAAGATTTTATGATCGGTGGATGCAGAAAATGCTATTTACAGGTGTCTAAGCGTTTATTTATCATGGCGGGTGTTTTTTGTTTTATTTTCATAGGAGTATCATAGTTACGTAACTTGAAAGTTTATATAAATATGGGAAACGATTGCTTGGGTCTATTATCTGAATACATTATTATTATTATTACATGCATACGCATAACGCTCACAATAACGCTCACAATCAACATAGCCCCGCACTAGGGAAACCCTGTGTCGCGGGTGCCATGGACACACACATAGACAACCACAAATTACACCCAAACTCACGAGAGAAATAAATGTAGGCCATACAAATATTTCTCCCGGCCCGGGAATCGAACCTGAGACCTCTGCGTGGCAGTCCGGCATGGTAACCGTTCGGCCACGGAGGCAGTTAAAACACTACAAAATAAACATTAGACAAATAATAATATCATATATTAATGTCATTTTCAAAAACCCCAAGTAATACATCATCCATCTCCTAAGACATGTTGTTTAAAAAAATTACAAAACACATTTATATAAAATATTTAAAATAAATCAATATCTAATAAAAAAAAAAATAAAATGCACCAACTTATAATAACGAGGATACGTCGACTTTCAGTCCCTATAGACCGTGGTTTCAATTATGAAGCAATAACAGAATTATTAGGAAACAACATTTTGTCAATTTCCACCTCGACAAGATCAACTTTTTTGAACAATCTGTAACAGTTTCCGATATGAAGGATTTGAAATTTGTATCGTTATTGACTTGCATTCTGCCATTTAGTTTCTTCTTTTTCTGAAACATAAAATCGAGTACAAACAAAACTTTAAATTTCATAAATATTGTCATATTTTTATGAATATAATATTTAAGAATAGGCTCCCGATGCATGATGCAGTGGCGTTGCGTCTCTATTTTCGCGATTACAAAAATAGTTCGAATGAGCAGACTCGGCTCGATTGTGTTTTTATATTCGCCTGCCGACGGCACCTTTGTTGTTCGGGATATCGTTTTCTCAAACAGTGGAATTTATTTTCTAATTTTGTCTATAACAAATTTTGAATACTTTGAGGCCGGATACGCTCGCTACCGTCCCCCGTACAGTGCCGCCCAGGGCCATTATCAAACGTTACTTAGCGGTTTCGGTTAGCTATTCTAGATCATAAATTACTCGCTATCCAGAAAAGTTATCTTAATCATATTTCTATCACAAGTACTTTATCATCAAAATCATCATCGTCAACCTTAAGTCTCACTGTCGGGAACTGCTGAGTTTCCCTTCACTAGAGGATTATTCCTGCTAAATATTAATAATAATAAATAATAAAATGTTTATTTCAGTAATACAATTAACTTTACATTAACAGTGCATGGTACAGCCTATTAAGCTTATCAAGCCTGTGTCAGGAGGCACCGCTCTTCCATAGCTATAAATGCATATTTAACATTTTTAAGTTATAATTAATGTAGTGTTTAATTTTTACATTTCCAAACATCGACAAAAACAAAACAAAACAAAACAAAACATTAACGTACGTACGTTACGTTAATTCACATTTACGTACATTCACAAATATACGTAACTTATAAATCAAAGATATAACACAAAGCAAATTCCTATATTATGAAGCTGCGTCTGTATGCCAATCTAGGGTTGTTTGTTACTGACCTTTGTATTTATTTGGTTTCAACGGCTTTTTTTGCCATAGCCACCACCTGTGAGGAATCTATGAAAGATTTTCTTCACTCAGTCAGGTACTTTTAGTTATCAGAGGCTGAACAAAGATGTCGCTATATGAATTGTAGTTTTTTGCTACCATTTTGATATTCAATCATTTTTTGTGAAATTCCTCCACTATTTTGTTATAATTATTAATACAAAGATCGAACACTAACAAAAATTAACATTTCTCCGTGATAGGACTCGAAGTTGAGTCCGTACGCGACTCATCTCAATATTATAAATAAATGTCATAGAGGTACATGCTTCCACAGGGATTCGATTATAGAGATCGAAGGTCGACTTATCAATTAAGAAGCAACCATTCTCCTACTAGGCGACTAACGAAGTTTTTGTATCTGGAATATTTAGTTATACTTGTAGAAGTAAAAAAATCAAAAGTGCACCAAAGACTAGTTAGTAGACGAGGCTATACAGTACTGTTACCTTAACACAATTCAGGCCCATTATCTATGTATCACTTGGTAATGTTAATTTAGACCTTGTAAATACTCAAACAAAAATTAATATCATACAAATTTAACACGTCTTTGTATTCCTCCATTATTGCATCGGTTGCTTTACGCCAATAGTCACGGTTTGATTCTTCGTCTTGAATCTGAACCATGATGTGTTTTAATTCTGCAATTTAAAAAAAAATTGAACAATATGAGTATTATACATTGTACAGAATCAAACGCACGTTAAAATATTATTTGTCCTATTTGTCCCCCCACCATTTACTAAATTATATACACGCAATTCCTTCATTTACCGTTCCACCAACATGTACAATAAAAATTTTTCTAATATTGATTTCTTTGACACCACACTTAGTAAATTTATGATGTTACAAATTGTAAATGACATTGAATGATTTTGTAATCGCTTATTAAACTCTGTCTTATATATTTATATACTTTGTTACTCATGCTCACTTAATTTAGAAAGATTAATTAATGATATTAATGTAAAACTCTAGTAACGCATAAAACAAGAATGTTATTATTACAAATAACTCTATATGTTACAGCCGTTCTTATTATAATTTATTTATAATCTGCTGGCACTATAGGTCTATTTTAAGAGGAATATATGTAAATAATTACTATTTCATGTATGACTGTTTGTTGCCACAAATAAATGAAGAAAAAAAAAGAAAAAACATTTTAATTCAACTATATGACCCTTGCGAAAAGAAAGATATGAATGAAACAAAGAAGGACTATCAAGTAATGTCTGACGGTGCGGTTACACACGGGGACTTTTAACACCACGTCACGCACCGACTCAGTCACAATGCAGTCGCTAATCGTCTGCCTGAACACACATGCGCGACTTGAGCGATCCATGTTTGCAATTACTCAACTTAAGCGACGGCATTGATGCGATGTATTTATGCAATTAATTTGTGACTTTATCATGTCAAACTATCTCTCGGGTAGGTACTATTTAGCAAAGTATATATTATATAAGTTACTATGCTCAATAGTAACGATAGATAGATTGATAGACATAATAATAAAGCAAATAAAATTTCTGTAAAAAGATATTTAAAATAAAATTCCTGTCTATGAAAGCCGATTTTTAGTATTTAATGTTCTGTTTAATGTCTGTTCCCACGCCGTTCGTTGCAATTGTACGTGTTGTACGCTTTACTGTCATAGGGGATATTTATAAAATACCTTTATGTGTCAGCCTTCACAATCCTCCAAATGTCAAACTTACTACTATATACACCACATGCTATGACGTTCAGCATTCTTCGTAGATCAACGTCGTCTTCCACTTTCCCAACATAGTAAAATCGCACTAGGTTCGGCATTAGCTCGAAAACTCGACGCAGTGGGAATGTGGCAAATCGCCACTGATGAATGCTAAGCGTAACTGCAAGTAAAATTGTGAAATCTATTCATAAGAAGTATGTTAAGGCGAAATGATATCGTGAATATGTAGGCTTTGAAGATTATGAGATAGATTCGCAGAAATTTATTGCACCGTATTGAGACATGTACCTTTTAGGAATAAAATATACCTACTCTCTTACTGTAAAATAAGCTCATACTCCCCTGGCGTATTTATTACGAAACACGGGAGAAAAAATAACAATCGGGTTAAAATTATTTTTCCTTAGGTGAACGTGGCAAATATTAAAATATTTTTAGACCTGATGCCTAATGTTCAACAGTGAAATGGTACTTACTTATTTTATAACTGCCGGCTTCCGTGCCACCGGAGTTTCAGTTAGCAAATGACTTATAAATTACGCTCAATTAACAATATTTATTTTTGTTGGGAGTCATTTAGGCTGAAATTTATAAAACAAACTTCGAACTTCGACTAAGCAAAGAAGACGCAAACAAAAAGTTTAATTTAATTTCTTGCTAAGGGAAAGTTCGTTTTGTAAATACGAAAAACTTGCTTAACCAGCATATTTGCTTAGCTGAACTCAAAACTTGTTTTATAAATTTAAGCTCAGTGTTATGCCGTGTTATGATTTTCACTGTAAGACTACTCTCGGACCACGCTCGGACCGAGTCATACAGGTGGCGCACTCGGATGTCGGCATCCGATCGTGAATCGACTCTGACGCGGTTCTATTCTTACGAGTATTCTCGGATCATTTTATGAAAACAAAACGGCGCCATCTAGGAAAAACTGGAATGAACGTTTTTATCTTCCTGTTGCACGTCACGTCTTAGAATTCATTTTCTGGTCCGTTTTTTCCCATTCATGATGTTTACTTCAGCCATTATACACATCTGCTACAACTCCTATACCTCATAACGGCGAATCAGTCGCCATCATATTGATTGTGCAGGGACACAAATGCTACTTGGACGCTGATGAACTCGTAACGTGTAAACCAAAATTTAAGTGGACCCCTATATGTTCTAACTCGCATGAGCGTACTCGTATAGTGAAAACCAGGCTTAAACATGTCATTATATTATTATTACCTAACGTAGAAGCGTAGCGAAAAGCGATATGTCGAATGAAACAGCTGAGGTCAGAGTCCTGCCTTTGCTTTATGTCCAGATCAATGCCATACTGCATGTGCGTCTCTCGCAGTGGGATACTTGGCGTCAAAAATCTTCTGATATTGTCGTAATCACGTACACGATCTATAGACATGACATAGTCGTAAACCTTGTACTTTAAACTACTTAGGCTGCCACTGACGAACTACTTGCACGAAGTCGATATGTACAACTGTCTGCAGTCGACATTTATTTGGGAGCTCAGTGTGTTTGTTGATGTAGAAATGGAAGATGTTACTTATACTTTGTAACTGTATTCAGTTCATTTTGACTTTACTTTTTATTAAGGAAATAAACATATCACTATCGAAATCCTCAATTTTAATTTGTCAACAAATTCACGTATACACTCTGCGGTGGAATTTCCCATCAAAAATTTAAACAAAGGTACCATTATACCAACAAAAACTTTTAGAATTGTGCAGAAAAAAATGGAAGAAATAGCCGTGGTAGCATAAGCAGAGGCCGTGGGGTCGAATCAGGGTAGGTACGCTCTGAGTTGCTCGGAAAGCTCATGGTAAATTTAATTTGAAATTTACCATGAGCTTTTCGGTGAAGGAAAACATCACAGACATGTATATATGTATATACTAGATATACGTCTGTCGAAAACATGATGAAATCTGCACGTCGTAGAATATTTACAACCCTCTGACGTTGTGTGAAGCCCCCAACCCGCATTGACCTAAACCCTAAGGACCTAAACGACTAAAGCCTAAACCCTCGCCAGAGAGGAGACCCGTGCTCAGCAGTGAGACGTATAAATGGGTTAATGATGTTTAGAATTGAGCAAATGGTATAAATCTGTCAAGAAAAATTTGATCAATCTTGTTTTTGTTTTCCAAGTAATCGTTACCTTTTGCCGTTATTACAAAAGATCTGCTGAAGTTCAAGTTATTTCAGACTCTAAAAAAGCAAATATCATCTGCTATTTTTGATTCACGAATTATGGTCCACCACGACTGCAGCCGACGTCTGCAGTTAAACTCTTGACTGCATGCAGTCGACGTCTCAAGCGCATTAACTGCAGGCGTGGAATCCATTTGTTGGCAGCCTTACAGCAACTATTACTCAACAATCTTAACGATTAGACTTTAGATTTAGATTAGATTAGATTCTTACGAAATGCCAGAAGTACGTAAATATCAGGGCAGGCTATGGCGACACGCCTCCATGCTGTATCGGGAATTGTGTGCCCTCCTGCTCCTAAAGCGGCATCAGTTCGGCCAGGAATAGACTCTTCGCGACAAATCAACTGCAAAATACGTAATTATTTTTTTACAAAAATTTATAATTAAGGCACACACGAATAGTTAGGGGTATGCTGATATGCTCAAACAAGGCTTACAAGACTTAAGCTCTCAAAAAACCCGGTAATATTGAGGTATAAATCGACGTCAGCGAAGATAAGCCCCTTCTTTGCAAAATCACCATTTGATATCGTCGTCACAATCACAGTTGACCAAAAATTTGAGAGAATAATATTTACTATATTCTTACTTTGCGGTTGTCGAAATAATACTTCAGGTACAGCCACTTATTGGACCAATATTCAAGTTCGTTATTTTATATGAAATATTGGTATGTACAAAGTGTGCAAGTGCTGCCTGCTGCTGATTAGAACTTGCATGACTATAAAGCGGGGATTTATTAGGATTTGTTCAATTTATTTCTTGTAATTTTCGAGCTCATACGTTTTATTGATAAGTTATGATTTTATTGTTTCGTTTTGGAGCAAAATTATTGCTTTACCTGCGTTATCCCTTCAATAATTGAATTAATTAAGTATTTATTACATTTAACGATACCAATTCATTAATTATTAATATTAACAATTAATCAATGGTACCAAACAAAGCCCGCAGTTCGTGTTCATGTTGTAGTAAAACCTAGTATTTATTTTTTGACAATATTTCAATGTAGATTTGGTTTAGTTTATTGCGACAAGCGTTTTCATTTTGATTGTTTTCTTGATTTTTTGAAATAAAACCGCAACTGCGTGAGGTAGGTAGGTTTTTACAGTAGGTACCCAAATTTTTCGGGGGCGAGCCGCAATAAAAAATTAAAATATTTTACTCTTACTAATGTTTTATTTCGCATGATAACTATCATTTGACACCTTTTACCTGTTAACAATTTCGTGTCTTCCGTACTATCTATGATTAACTGAGTAACTAAAATCCCAGTACAGACCTTAGTTTCAATAAGGTAAGTGCATTTTGGGTGTGTACCTGTAATCTAAAATGTGCCTTCTTCATTACAGGCAAAAGCGATATGAGCGCACCACCGGTGGTATCAGCTAGATATGCGTATTCCAGTGCAAGCACACGCAAATTCCGCAGTTCACCCAAGCTTCTGAGAAAACATTGTCTTGTTTCAGGTCGCGGAATGTACTGCCCCGATCCTGAGTAACAAGTAAATGATCAATTATAGTGAATTATAACTGCTGGAAGCTATGTTAACTGAGCGGGTTGTGTGGCTGGAAACAAAAAAGAGGGACGTTATAAGAATGAAACATGTCATTTCCACATCGACAATCGTCAAATCATATCATACTTAAGACATTTATATGTTTAAAATTACCGAAAAAGAACCTATAAATAGAAGTGTAAAAGATCACATCGTATTATTCATCAGTATTAGTCTACGCCGTATTGTTATTTGGTGAAATCCATAACATTGATAAATTCATATATTGTGGCAGCATCGCCGAGACCGCTGCTTAAAATGAACTTGCTAAGAATACTAGATTTGTTCCTGAGTGTTTAAATTAGACGCCAAATAAATTCAGAAAAATCGCTTTATTACATTACGAAAAATAAATATAGTAGGAATAAGTATAGGAATGCTGAACAGTACAATACATTTTACGTCATTCAGTTTCTTGTGAAACCTTCTTAGAATTGTTACTTTTAGCAGCACTATTTAGATACTTTCTGTTGCTTGGATATTAGTGTCACTGTCTGTATTTTCTGTATTGTGAGCTGTGGGTAATATCATCGTAGCAGTAGTGTTATCAATCTTCCGGTACTGAAAGTTTGGTAAATTTTTCTTTGCTTCGTCGATGGTTTCGCGGAGTGTAGTAGCTGGAATTTTCGATGCTACTTGTGCTTCTTCTTCGCATTCCTGTACGAGTTTTTTCATGATGTGCTCATCTAAGGGGCAAATCTTGTGCGAACCTTTGTCATGGTGATGTTTTAATTCATTATTAATACGAAGAAGTCTTTCCTTGTTTGAATGTGTTCGCCAAGGTCGCTTGGGGTCAGTTTCTGTTGATAATGTTCTTTCATTATATATTTTTTTGGCCCTGTGAACAATGTCAACTTTAATTAAAATAAGTTTATAACAGTATACGTCGTATACGTAATGAAAATAGCAGTTTTCTTACATTAAGGAATAAATTACCTACACGTTACAAGTTCGTAATATTGTATACGTCGTGATCTCACAGTAATTATGCCTTACCTTTTGTAGTCTTTAAGAACCTGTTTTAGTTTCCTTTCATTCTCATCGAGCAAACTCTTATCTACTCTGTATGGATTTTCCAAAACTTCATCACTAAAAGATTTTGTCTCTTTTTCTTCCTGCTCTATTTCTTTATCGAATTTTTCATGAAAATCTTTAATCAATCCCAAACATCGTTCGGAGAGCTTTATATCTGGCACTTCCAATCCTTTGACTAACTTAGCTATTTTTGTTTTCTCATCATCAGTAGACATCTTTGTATAATTCAGACTCGTTAGATATTAAGTTTGTAACCATGGCATTATCAAGTCGTTGCCCTGGTAACGTCTCAAAGATACTCGAACCCACCAATAACAATATTGATATCGTTGTATTATAGCAATACCCAGTAAGATTTGTTTACAAGTATAATATAATTGGCAATACCTATATTTGAGCACTGAGCATATAACCCTTAGACTATGGAAACCAATGAAATTATACTCGTAAACAATAGATGCGCAATCTGCGCCTTAAAGACTATCCACACACATCATCAGGGCCGTGCCCGGGACGTGGACGGGGCGTGCTAGTTTGTATGAACTACGGGCCCGTCCCGGCGTCGGCCCGGACATGGACATGTGTGAACGAGTTTATACAAAATATACGTAACGATATTTTTTTCAAGTCCCTGACGGAGCACGGCCCGTCTACGTCTCGGGCACAACTCGGATATGTGTGGATAGCCCTTAAAGCAGCCCCACGGCACTGTTGTCCACTAGAGGTGGGTGATAAATAACGTCACGATGATCCGCCGTCAAGTAGTATTACCGAGACTCGTTCCGAAGGAACGACGTTCCAAAGTCACATAGGTGTTCCTCCGTTCCAATAGCTATCCCCGTCACTCACATCACGACATACGTATTTGATACAATGCGCGATCTCCGTTCCGTGGTGACTGAGCGCGCCACTCGTTGTAGTTCTCTTCAAATCAAATCATATTTTTGTATATTTGTTTTATTATAGGAAGAGTTGGTATTTTATATTTATGTATAATCTAGTTTGTGTATTCTACTAGAAATATAATTACATTACACTTTATTGCTATTTTTAACAATCCAATGACTCGCATTGAATAAGTAACAAACAAAATTACATTAAATACAAAATCAACTTTTTGAATGGAATTGAAACTTATTGCAAAGGGAGTAAAAACTTAGATCATTGTATTAAAAAACGGCTATAAGTATTAGAAAGAAGCCGCTGGCTAAAACCGTATGTCATGATGTAAGTTATAGGCGTGACAAGGTCACGGAAGTAACAGTCGCGACAAACTCACGATGATTTATCACTGTGATTTTTTTGGAACCGGAACGGCGGTCACGGCGATAGAAATGTAGCGCTATTCCACATGTCTAAGTATTAAATAGAAACAGAAACTTTGTCGGAAGACAGTATTTTTATCACCTTTATCCAATAAATAAAAATTACTAGAAAAGCAATGAATTAGAAAGTTATCTCTTCATATTTTAAAAGAACTATGAATTCCAGACGTAGACCCTCACGTTCATACATTTTCATGTATATTTCATTCACTCGTTCATTCCATTTCTGATTACTATCTATCTCCACTGTCTCTTTCCACCAGTAAGGCTACAAGAAATTAGGGAAAATTAAAGAAATATAGAATCTGAAAGAGATATAATTTAACTAATTAAAATGCTAGCTACAAGCATTATAGCGTTTATTACATTTTACACAACATTTTTAACTACCGTCTTGAAAAATTACATAGAAATCACTTACGAGGTTATTCACTGTAAGACGACGATATATACCATTTCACAAATTAAAAATTGATTTATTATTTATGAAATTGAACATATACATTAAATCAAATTCTTAGGTTTTCGGGAAGTGCCGAAGCATTCCAAAGGCTGACGAGGCATTTTGTAAGCTGCCGGCTCGGATCCCTAAGCTTACCGCTGCTTTGTTTTCGTGGCCATGACCATTGTCATTGATATTTCAGCTATAATGTTATTACACTAAGGTATATTACTATTAGTCGCCTAAAAATCACCTGCTGTTCCGTCCCGTTAGTGGGCGCAGAGTCTTTCTAATACTTTAATTAAACAAGTAATGGTTTAATGCACTAACCCTTAATATAGCTGTAGTTTACAAGGATGGGGTTCTCATTGGGTAGAACAAACCGCCATAGGAAAAGATATTTGAGCGTTTGTGCATTGAAGCATGCGAGTTGTTGAATCAATCTTACTCCCTCTAGTCTCTTACAACACATATTTTCAAAAGATACTAATTGCAACCGGTCCTGAAAACTGTGTCACCATTTTAAATGTCATCATCTTAAATACTACTTACAGATATCATTTCCATTATTCATAAGTATTTGAAGGGTAATTTTAATAGAAAGGGATAGATCTGTTGTTTTCTCTGATGGAAAGAAGCAACGAAGCTGGATACCTACGTTATATATACGTAGATTTTCATTTTTGTTGAAAATTACAATTATGAGGTACAACTTCTTAACATTTTTAAGAGTTCAAAGCAGTCTTAAAAAGCAAAAGTTTGTATAATATATTTATATATTTGTATAATCTCTAGCCGCGTGTATTGAGAATATATTTAATGGAAAGAGTTTATTATTTTTCATTCATACTTAACTTAATATAAACAATTTTGAGATGTCTACTTAATGAAATATAAATTTATAAAATGATTTTTACTTACCTTCAAATACAAAAAGTTAGCTTCATATGAAATTGCATTCATATTTTTATACCTATTAATTTGTAACGATTTATGATAATTTGTGATGATTCAATAAAAAGATTTATCAAGATTGTTTACATTTCATTAAGTACCGAAACAAATGGACTATAATTACTCAAGAGAAGATCACCACATTTGTAAACAACTAACAAAATTCATTATAGATATCCACATTGTCATACCTTAAGATATTAAGTAAGATTCGAAAAAACTCTTCTCTTTTAAATTTGTCCAAGTAGCCAATTCGTACTATCTGATCGGATATAATGAGTCGGTCGACTTGATCTTGTTTAATTTCCATTTTCTGTAATTAGTGCGTCGATATTATTCAACTAGTGAAACTTGTTTGTTAAAAAATGTGGTGCTATGTACAACGACATGAAAATCTATAATACCCACATCAATCTGCTGGGACATCATTTATCAAAAGCACACACTACTAATATTCAATTAATTTGAAACAAAAGTTGCTCATCTTGAGGTATAGAATTAACTTCTGGAGTTTTGACGCCAACTCCGTAGACGATTTGTATTTTCGCACTTTTACAATCTTGTAAACATTTTTCCGCTATTTTTAGCGGGAAAGTCATTCTTATATCTTTATTTATTAAAATAATATCTAAAGAAATGTTGTATTATTATATTTTATTTCGTTCCAGCTGAGTAACACATTGAACTCTGAAACTCTGGTGTTTAAGTGTGCCTACAGTACAGATATGCTCGCTTTTTTAACGATCGACACGTGTAATCAAACAAAACGAGTAAATGTGATAGCAACAGATGATTGTAAAGAGTAAATGTGTTTTTTGTAGAGCGCCATAGTGGATAGTTTTGTAGATCCATAAATCCACAAGTGATGTCTACCAAATTTGTTCCATTTTACACGATTTGTCCATCGCTAATAGACGACAGTAACAATCGATAAAATCGAGCCAATTTCTGGACACAAATTGAACGTCAAAACACCGCGTCGAGCGGGTATTATCGGTCGTTACTGTATAACGACCGATAATACCCGCAACCTTGACCAGGTCCCCGCCACCTTCCATCTGGTCGTCATCCACGTTGCGCGTGATACGTCCACGCTGCGTTTTCGGGACGCGGTCGCCGTTCAAAAAATTTTCGGTCCCATCGGTCATATTTGTTCTACAAGCAATGCCTCGCCCACAGCGTTGAAGTTTAACAATTATTAATCTTAAAATTAGTGTTTATTTTTAATTATAACCTTTAGGGTAGCGGACATGGATATAGCGAATTCTTTTATATACAGTTTGGGTGGTATCTTAGTAGCAGTATTAGTTCTCCAAAGGTAACTGCCGTGACGAGTTGACATTCTCAGATTCGGATATTGACATGTGAAAAGGATCTGTTCGCAATGAAGATCGCCGATGAAATAACGCTGCACATCGTGTATTGACCAATATCGCGTGTGCAAGCTTCTGCAAATACAGCCAATGAAGAGTATGTAACAGTCATAATCTTCCCAAGTACTTATTACAAGTTTAGCATTGGTTTTTATAATTATTAATAGAAAGATTGAACACTTATTGTTATACTGGTCGAGTCAGCATGTCGACGAAATTCTTCTGTGTCGTTATAGATCTGGGTATTGATTTTTTCAACTTTTAACCCTGCACGCGACACCTATTGTCTCACTCAGCTTAGTTGGCAGAGAAACACTACCGTATAAATCCAAGATCAAATATGTTAACAAACGAATGTCATTGTGAAAGTGACATTTCAGGGTTATGAAACATTTTAAAAAAATATGAGGTATAATTTAACTTTTTATTGACATGATAAAAATGAAAAGCACCGACATAAACGAAATATATTTTATTTCTATAATTCGTTACACTGAAGGTTAATAAACCTCATCAACACATCAATGTGTATAATAATACACATTGAATTTTTTTTAGGTATAGTGGTCGCAGTCCTGTCAGGGCAAAATAATTTTTCTTTGTGTTCGATCTTTGTATTAGTAATTAGAACAAACTAGTGGAAAAATATATGAATCTCAAAGAGGTAAAATATCGTGAATACCAAAAAAAATCAACAATTGTTGAGTATACTTGATTTGATATACAAGTTCAGACAAAATCATTTTTTGAGATATCATAAAAAACCATAACCCAGTTTTAGAATATTGAAATTGTTAAATGATAGGAAATGAAACTATTTTTCCGGATATAAATCGCGTATATTTGTTTTTTCATATAAACCAACCCTTTACAGGTCTCGCGGTCGCGGTTGACTCAACCGAGTCAAAAATAGTTTCATTTCCTATGTGTAACAATAGCGAAAACCTTAGAACTCGATATTACTTAATGATATTTCAACTATGCATCGTTAGGGTAAGTTCCGATAAGTTGAATACGTCAACTAATTTTAACTGTTTTTAAAAGATAATTTTGTGCTCTATCCTATTCAATTGAAAACATATATTTGACCATTTATCACTTAGCCGCCTTTTAGATAGTGGACGGCAGAACTGAGCTACCTATTCCTATGTCCCCATTCCCACAATATACACTAAAGCTCGATCGATTGGCCTAAAATGATTTACAACCGACCGTAACACATCGTCGTCAGGCAGGATACCATCGGCGCTTTCGACATAATGTAGCCAAATGTAAGGATCTTTGGTCCAGTCGCTTACGTCCAGAGGTTCCTTACTGGGTTGGTATTCGCGGGGCCAAAGCAACCATTTCACTGTTTCTAGATCTCCGATAAAGCGAATACACTTGCACTCAAATTCTGAAATAGCATAAAATTGTATTCTTAGTACTTTTATTACCTTACCTTATTTTAGGCAGCGATGCAAGCGTGCGACTGCATCGGTGCAATCGCCTATAAATCGCTAGTGTAGATGCAATCGCGCGTTTCAGGAACGTGTGTTTGCATCGCAGCTAAAAGGTGTGTAATCACTCTAAAACCTACTGTATAAGTTTATTATATAAAAAGTCTCTAATCACTGTAAAATGATGCTAAAATACGCCAGAAGACAAATGGAGGAACTGGTTGTTCGTCACCGTGTCAAATAATAATTGTCGAACGAATCTATCTGGGGAACACTCTTGCAAAGACTAAAACTGCCATGCGGATTATCATACAAGGTAAAAAAATCTATGCTACATGATCACACAATTGTTGTGATTTGTGAATAACATTACCTAAGGCCTTTTTCATTTCAATAACAAAATAATCAGAATCTCAAAACAGAAAGATTTTACAAATTATAAATACAACAAAATTAAGTATATTTTTACTTTATCAAGTAAACAATAAAATGATTGCTTTTTGACTTTGACACTAGATTTTGACAGACATTAGGTTACAGTTTAAATCTTAGACTATGGAAACAGACAGTTTTTCCCTTACAGAATGGAAAAAAATAATAGTCTAAGGTATTTCCATCCTCTAAGATGGAAACCAATAATACATAAAGAGCCATAGAATGGATGCGAGCATAATTCTCTTTGATGCGAGCATAGATATCGAGTATACAGATTATGAGAGTATATTATACTCCTTTTTTTACCATCCTTATGGGTGTAAGGTCAATGGTGTAAGATAATTAAGAACGATGCGAAAGTGAAACTGGAGAAGAAAAGGGTAATGTGAAAGAATGGCGTCAAAAGAACCTAGCCGACAACTTCACGGATAAATAGAAATTATCCTAAAAACGTGCACGAAAAGAAAGGGGAATTTTCGCAAAACATGAGAATACGCTTGATAACGGATGAAAGTCATAACTTGGTGATGGTGACGAACGAGAAGAGTATTCAAAGGCGATGGGAGGATTATTTTGAGGGTCCATTTCTAAGTAACGATAACACCATGCCTCTAGTAGTTGCCACAAATGTTTATTTTGACGAGTCAATCCAGAATACATATAACAATGAGAAAGGAATGTATGATATTGTAAAAGCGACGCATGGCAAAAGAGACATGTTAGAGTCAACGTGAACGACGACATTGGAGGAGCTCGGTCGCGTCACGGTCTCAGATTACATCAAGAATGTTCTTGAAAAGACTGGAGTGCATTGTGAGAAAAATAAGAGGGTTACTATAAAAAAAATTGATGACTGTAGTGAGACAAGAGTGCTTAGTCGGAATCGTGCAACGTGGCGATCGATACTCGATGGTCTTTTCCTACCCCATTAATGGCGTGAATATATTAGCGACTTCGAATGCTACTAATACTAATCATTCGAATGGGCAAATCATTTGCCTAGGTCGAATCCAAGCACAAACATTCGACATTATTATGTCGAAACTACTCGGAATTTCACCACGTCCAAAACAAAATATTCCGTCACATTTACGGTATATACCATAATGTCAGAGAGGGCTAGGCAGAAATGCTCTATGGACTCTATGGATCAGTAATCGCCTGTCCATAACAGTTGCAGTGCCACTCTGAGCTTTAAATCGCAAAGATCTGAGGGCACTGCCACTGCGTCCATCACCCTGAGACATAAATTCACAAGTCCCATGCGCCTGTAATTCCATCAGCACTTTTACCCTTCAAAACTGGACAGTAATGCTCAAATTACTGCTTGGCGGCAGAAATAGGTAAGGTACTGTACTACCCCACGTGGCAGTGCCACGATGAATTTTTTTTTTATATGGGAGTAAATAGTGAGCGTGGCAAGATAACGCCGCTGATGTCTTTGAACGATGCGAGGAGTAGTGTGTGAGAAGACTCAATTTCTATTGCAGCGGAATTTTCTCGCATGCTCCGGAATGCTTGTGCATTTGCAAGAATTCCGCGGAAGATTTTGGCTCGTATCTCGTTTGCACGTTACACAATTGACCATAAAGTTCGCTATGCTATGTACAATATCGTTACAAAAATTCGCTTCCATTCCTTTCCGTGGCAATATAAATTGAGCCTAAAAGGTAGAATGGCATTGAGAATTAGTTCGTCGATAGTAACCCTACAGGGTAATATGACACTGTTGATGTATTTTATAAGGTAGTAAGTCAAGCACGGTCATGGGAAGCCATTATACAACGAAGAGTTTATTTTGAAATTCATTATATTTGGAAAAATATACAAAGAATTCATATTACAACTAACTAATTTGTTCTGTACATTTTAAAGTAAAATTAATTAATAAAAATTCTAATAAATGCGTTACATAAAAAGGCTTATTAAACAATTTCCACATAATATCATAAAATTACATTTTATTTGTTTGAAATATAAATAAGATGAAAGTAACCCGTAATCTAAATATTACACAAAAACAATTCAGTGCTATAATTTAAAATTTTCCTTAAATCGTGTTTAAATTAATAGAACCAATTGTTTCCATCGTATTTTTATAAAGTCGGTAAGTAGGTACTTACTCACAGTAACGTTGGATATCAATAAACCATCTACGCCCATTCATCATAGTATCAGAAAAATTCCACAAATTATTCTTTATTATAATACCATGTTGCAGCGATATTGCCAAACTCGTTTAAAACAGATTTCAATTAATCTTTGAAAATGGAGAGCCACAGCGCCACAGGCAAGTCAATTTCGGGTGGCGCCACAATCGTTGGTGAAATTAAATAAATATTGTAGGGACTTCAAATAACGCTTGTAGAAGCGCTGCAGCAGTGGCGCGAATTGTGACTGCAAAAATGGCGCGCGCATGTCACGACAGTGCAGCTGCGCTTCTAAATATTGTATGAAAATTAAATGTCGTTATTGTATTATCCTGTTAAGCATGTTATTAATTTCAAGTAAACTGAAACAAATGGATATAAAACAGTGAGCACATTGTGTGTTTTGCGAAGTGTACAATTTCTGCGCAATTTATTGACAATCAGTAGTTAAATGGAATCAATTGTTGTAAATAATTCAATTAGTAAGCTTCAAACCGACTATATGCAAAAGACACCAATCACTGCGCTCGTGAAATTTTGGTGTCGTTCTTCCATCACCAATAATTATCACTAACGCTGTTTATTACATATCGATACCAGAAGTATCAATTAATGTAAGGGACAAACCACGGGTTTTTCAGGAGAGCCGAAAAACAATTTTATTTTTTTAAATCTGTCTATAACTTTTTGCTGTCTGCTCCAATTTTGATTGTGTATAGAGCAAAGTTTCTTAGAATTTCCTCTTCTTTCATGCTATAAACGAAAGATTTAGGAATGCCCAGTGGTTTAAAATATAGCATATCCCTTACATTAATAAAAGATGTTTAGTTGTGCCTTACGTTGCTCATATTTTATGAGTAAACCGTCGAGCATCGTGTAAGCAGGAAGAGAAATAGAAAATAATTCGTAATTCTATTCTAAAGGATCCTTTAAGGGACATGCTATATATATTTTAAACCACTGTGCATTCCTAAATTTTAATAATACCAATCGATGAGCGGCATTTTCGTCAAAATGTCCCTTATGTTAACTGACACTTCTTGTATCACAATTAACAACACAATTAAAAATAAATACATTTAATTTCTTATAAAATAAAACGAGTTCAACAATCGTACTGCGACATATGACATATACAGTGTTAATAACCCACTGAATTGTTGCGTTCAAATATAAAACCACATCGGTTCATCCATAGTAAAATGATGCACATTTTTATTATCATCATCACACGAGACGTTTACAAAACATGCATGTAAAATACAATAGTGCGAAAACAAACAGGCATGGACAATATTTACCCTGAAAATGGTTGGTTTTAGTAGCAAATTTAAAAGGTTTTGGACCTTCCAGATAACTGGACGCAAATTTATTGTCAATCCATTCAATAAAATTTCAGTCTTCATGATCAAAGTGCTTGGTTGGATGGAATCACTTTTACGAAATGTGTTACCTTGTCCGTATAAGACTTGCAGTTTGCGTATAAACTAAACTTTTAGTTCTGGACTAATTTAAATATTTCGAATTGGCACCCCGGAGCAACCATAAGCAATATTAGAAATGTTTTCGACCAAAATTAGTAGGTCAATGACCAAAAGTACAAAAATGGGCACAGCAGGCCAACATAGCAACAGCCAAAAATATTTTATTGTACAAAGCCGCGTCGTCGTTTCTATACTAAGTTTTTGGACTTATTTGTTGATAATTTCTTGGTATATACTTTGTAATTCTTCGTGAGGGCAAAGTTAAGGAATTTGAATAATGGGTCGAAGTTCTACTATGGTTTTATATGATCATGAAACGCAGTGATATACAAACATGTACGTTACGATTTATGAAGTTGGGTGCTGCAAATTGGTCGCTTGTGGCAATTCTGTGCATAGAGCACCTAATGTGACATGATAATCATTGAAAAATAATAAGTAAATGTATACTAAATATTATCTAGATTGCATACATAAACATTTACTAACTGCATACATATCAATAGTGTCTAGTAATAAAAGTTGAAATTTATTAATTTCGCCTACTTAGAACATTGTTTTAAAGAATGCGTCAACTTTTCTAACCGTACAATTTATCTTCTTCGGTACACGCATCAACCTCGAATAAAATTTTAATTACCAAAAATTTTGATACACAATTTAAGTTAATTATGCTCTACAGTTAAAATAATTTTATTTACTAGTCAGGTAATGAACGCTTAATTAGTACAAATTAGATACTCTTTGATTGGGAGTTATTTTGGTGCCCAATTTTTAAGACCTTTTTAAAGATTTTGCATCAAAGGTATGTCAATCCAATTCAAAATCATCCCGAAATGCGATTTGCTAAATCAGACAATGAGAAATCACAGCCCAAACATAAAATAGCGCCTACTACGTGTGAGATCAGGACTTATTGGAGTTAAGTATGTGTAGTGTGTATTTTTCCTTTATTCCACATACCTATCATTACAGTCGACATTCAAGCCACAGCGAGCGTTTTAGCATACGAGTGTAAACATATTAAAACAACTAGGCACGTGATGAAAGCTTCATCGCTGTATGTTCATATACTTAGAGAAAACAATTATCAACGTGGTTATGGCACACAATATAGTTCTAAGCACACATACATTAGTTGTAGATATAAGCACACGTATCAAAAACTAGCTAACAAAAATTAGTTTTTTGAAACGTGAGATATTTAACCCTTAAATACTCGCATGGAGTCAACTTATCTTTACGCGCTAT